TGAAAGGCTTGTCACCGGGAGACATCTCCGGGTGCGGGCGTGAGGGGTAGGCTCTCCACCCATTAGCGACCACCCCTTTGTCCTGGCTGGGGTGGTGAGGGAGGATGGCTGGGCCCTGCCCCCACTCCTCCTGAAGGTGGGCTGAAGATTAGATGGGACCCCCTCCACACAGCCCTACGCCAGCACCTGGGGCCAGGCAGGCACTTAAAGAACAGGAAGTCCTTCCATTCCCAAGGTTATACTGATCACCTGTGCATGAGTGAGTCAGCACTTCAGCAGTGGTTCAGCACCGACCCTGTGAGCCAAGGGCACACCACCCAGACTCTCCATCAAGAACTCACTAAGGGATTCCCAGACCGTGGCCTTGAATCTCCAAATCATTCCCCCCACCCTAAGCCACTTCCTAGGCCCTCCTCCAAAGGGTCGCCCCTTCCCACCCCTAGGGGGGAGCACAGCTGCCTCCCCAATGGCCTAGACCCCATTTGAAGCCTCTCCTCCTTCAGCTGCCCAAGATTATAGCCTGATGGCAAGATTTTACCTTTCAGAGTCAGGCCAACCTGTGTTAAAATTCCAGTTCTGCTACTAACCACATGACCTCAACCAGGTCTCAACTCCGGGAGATTTTGCCTCACAGGGAACCTTCTGCAACGTCAAAGACACTTTTGCTTGTCACAGCTGGGAGTGGAGATGCCCCTGGCATTTAGTGCGTACAGGCCAGGGATGCCGGATACCCCACAGGGCACAGAACCCCCACCCATGACAGAGAAATAACTGGCCCCAAATGCCAACGGTGCCACAGTTCAGAGACCCTGCCTTAAGTGAATAATTTCACCTTCCAGGGCCTCAGTTTCCTCATCTGTAAAATAGGCTAATAATAGCCCTTGTAGAGCTATTGTGGAGGTTCAACAAGGTGGAGGGAATGCCCAGTGCCGCATAGAAGCAAATGCTCCATAAATATCCCCCACTCAGCTCATTATTAGATACCTCCGGAATCCCTCCTGGTTTCGTGCTTCTGAACCTGCTCCCTCTGGCTTACCTGGTGTCAAGGCCAGGGCCACCACCTCTTCCCTCGCTGGGCTCAGGGTCTCCCTGCTGTCCCTCTTGACCCCAGCCTCATTCCCACAGCTCATGCCCACAGCAGGTGCCTGCCTCCGTGCCCCCTTGGCCCACCCTTACCCCCTTCACTCCCGGAGGCCCCTGCTCCGGTCATTAGGCCAGGCTGCAACCCTCTGCAGCTCTTTCGTACTCCCGCACCTCTGCACACACTTCCTCTCAGGCACCAGGCCACCGCACACCTCCCATGCGTCCTGCCAAAGCAGCATAAGAGAGCAAAGCAGGCCCTGACTGCTCGGTCCAAGTCCTGAGCTCAGCCTATTACTTATGATCTAGTTTGGGGGAAGCCAGTCTCACCTGTAAAACAGGGAAATCATCCCCCAGCCGTGAGGTGGTTCTGCGGACCGAGCAGAGAAGGTGTGTGAAAACACGGCTATGAAATCAAGCAAGGGGGCGCCTGGGTGGCTCAGTCAGTTGAGTGTCCGGCTTTAGCTCAGGTCACGATCTCATGGTTCGTGGGTTCGGGCCCCACGTCAGGCTCTGTGCCGACAGCTCAGAGCCTGGAGCCTGTCTTCGGATTCTGTGTCTCCCTCTCTCTCTGACCCTCCCCTGCTCACGCTGTCTCTTTCTCTCTCTCTCTCAGAAATAAACTATCTCCCTCCATTAGAATGTCAGCTTCATAAGGGCAGGACTTTTTGTCTGTTTTTATTCACTGCTGTATCCCTAGCGTCAAGGGCAGCGTCTGGCCCGTAGTAGCTATCCACTAAATACTTACTGGGTGAGTGACTTCACTATTTACGTAGAGGGTATTTCTCTAAAGCCCCTAAATCTACCTCCTTCAAGAAGTCTCCCTTCAAATACATAGAGGTGTTTTTTTTTTTAAGTTTATTTATTTTGTGAGAGAGAGTACACGGGGGGCAGAAAGAAAGGAGAGAGAATCCTAAGCAGGCTCTCCACTCTCAGCGCAGAGCCTGACACAGGGCTCGATCTCACGAACCATGAGACCATGACCTGAGCCAGAATCAAGAGTCAGACACTTAACCAACTGAGCCACCCAGGCACCCCTAGATTTTTTAAGTAAGCTCTATGCCAACACGGGGCTCGAACTCACGGCCCCAAGAGCAAGTCACATGGTCTGCCGGCTGAGCCAGCCCAGCGCGCCCACGTGCCTATTACTTAATCACTGCAGCACCTTTTATAGATGAGGAAACTGAGGCACTTGCTCGGAGTCTGGCAGAGCCAGACGCATTTGTTAGGGACACAGATGACCAAGACTTGGGCCCTTCTGTCTCTCACAGCATTTTGGGAAGGAAGGGTCATGGAGGGAGGCCCAGGATACTTTGTGCCCCCTTCTGGGGTCATTGGTCCTCAAGGCAAGTGCCACTTCCACTGTGCAAACGGCCGCTTGGGGCGAACCCCTATATCCTGATATGATTCATTCATGCTCCAGCCTTCGGGCCACCTGGAATTCATTAGCCAGTCCAGAGTCCTGCGCTGCTCTTCAATCACTGTCCTTGGCTTTGCTTTTCCCTATGTGTCCCCACAGGGGGCAGGCCCCCTGTGGGCAGGTGCCGTGGCTCTACCCCATGCCCCGTCTAGGCATTCGGCCCATGTGACAGAGGAGGAATGGAGGCCCAGAGACTTCGAGAGCAGGCCTGCCATCACTCTGCAAAGGAGAGGCAGGGCTGGACCCTGGTCACCACCCAGCTACCACCCCGCCCCCACCCCAGCCCCCTGCCTCCCCTGCTTTCTCCTGCTTCTTCTGGGACTGAGGACCTACGCCCTGGCAGGCAAAAAGCAGACTGATGGCGCGTGGAGTCCAGAGTGAGGATAGAATATTCACGATACAGTCCCCCTTTGAAGTTCAGATTTAGGATGGAGGGCTTCCGGGTGGGTGGTGGTACGGGTTGGGGCGGGGGGCTTTGGAAAGAGCCTAGAGTGAAATTTGTGGTTAAGATCCCCCCCTTCTCCTGCCTCTTTTCTGCAGAGATGGGGAGGTCCAGGATAGGAAGGGTTAAGTGTGGTTTTGCTTCCCCAGCCAGGAAGGGAAGCCGGGCCTGTCTGGGAGGGTGGGGCCTGGTGGGGGGGGGGGCAGTGCTGAGGCAGTGGGAACAGCATGAGCCCTGTCCCTCACGTCCCAGGGAAACCCACCGGGCCTCTGCTCTCCTTTGGGAAACAGAAGCAGAAGCAGAACAAGACTTTTTGTTTTGTCTGCAAAACGGAGAGTGGGCGCCACGCCCTGGGAGAGAGGGTTGCAGGGAGGGGAGGCCATATCCGGGCCCCTCACCTGGGTGCATCTGGATGCTCGCCACAGTGCCCAGCCACCCTCCTAGACACGGGACCCTAAACACCCCCCCTCCGCGGGTCCCCTCCATAAATACCCGGACCCCTTGTCTAAACCCCACTCCATCCCCTGCGGACACAGGCCCGGGTCCGGAACCTGGGAAACAGGACCTGTCCAGCCAGGCTTCCCTGTCCTATTACAGAAACCTTGATATCCTGGAGCTGCAGGAGTCAGCAGCGTGATTTAGTCTCCTGAGTTCTCCACCAGAGAGTAAGCTGTGGGGACGCAGGGGCAGGCCGTGAGAGCACATGAGTTCTGGGGCCTTAGCACGGCCACCTCGGAGGGAGGATGAGGCGGCGGTGGGGCCAGGCCAGGAGTAGGGGAGGGGAGCAGAAGACTGATCAGAGGGCTGGTTGGTGAGGCTTGAGGATGAAGGCTCCAGAGCCTGGGGTGGGGAAGCCTGGGGACCTGGGTGATCCTGCTTGGTGAGAGGGCCTGGCCCCTCCCCGAGCCAGTGGGGGAGCAGACCTGCTCCGAGAGGGATGTGGAGGTACGTGGAGGTACGTGTGGTGCCCCGGGCAGGTGGAGGTGGTGGGGTCTTTGCTGTCCTGCCCCACACTACCCACTTTCTGGCTGAGACCGGGACGGAGAGCCACCACTGGCTGTCCAGCTCCCTGCCCTGCTCCCCCTTTCAGGCCCCTCTGGGAACCACAAAAATCTAGGACCTGGTGTCCTGGCAACGTGATGAATGCACAGCTCTGGTATCTGTTTTAAATTATCCATTAAAATAAGTACAGTCCTGGAAAAAAAAAATAAGTACAGTCTTGGTGTTGGCGGGGTGGGGTGGAAGAGTAGTTGGCGGGGTGGGTCAGAAGGAGGAGAAAGGGACCCAAGTGGGGGGGGGCTAGGCAGCCTCTTTTCCTAATTGCTTGGGTGGGAAGGGAGGAGGGCAGTGCCTAGGCCCTACTCTTGGTTTTGTGAGGGGGCCTGTGGCGCCGTGCTGGGATCTAAGACCCAATGCTTGATGTTGAAGGGAGAGGTTGGGGCAGAAGATAGGAAAAGACGGACCCCAAACTTCTGGTCCCTTCCCCAAAGTTGAGGGTTAAAGCCCAGCTCCCCAGAGAACCCAGGCATTCCTTCCCACCCCCACCCTGGCATACAGAGGTGCGGCTTTGAATGGGCGGCCCACGTGTGTGTGTGGGGGGGCAGGGGTGACTCACTATTACTATGGGGAGGAAAGGGGGAGCCACTGGTGGAAGAGAGTGAGTCACCCTGATGGGCACCAGCCTCAGCACCCCCCCTCCACTTTCCTGGATCTGCCTGCCTGGCGCCTTCCCCTGCTTTACACCCGCCTTCCCTCTCCCCCCACCCCTGCCCTTTGCCCACCCACTCTCACCCTTAGGGTCTGCCTTCAACCCACGAAGGCGAGACGGTGGGGTGGGGGCAAGCTTGAAGCTGGGAGCCCTGAGCAGGCAGAATCAAGACGGGAGAAGCCCCAGGCTTCCCGGGTGCGAGGGACAGGGTGGGGCCCCGCCCGGCCACCGCCCGGCGGTCCTCGCCCCCCCGCGCCGCCCCCTCACCGCCCGCTGCGGGTGTGCGGCGGCCCCTTTAAGAGCGGCGGCCCCTCCTCCCACTCCCTAGACCTATTAGAGCCTCTGCCCGGCGTCGGTGACTCAGAGTGTCCGCGGGAGCGCCGCCGCCCCAGCCGCGCGCCCCGGTTCCGAGGTCCGCCCGCCCCCGGCCCAGACCCCACGCCTGCCCGGAGCGCGCCTCCCGGCCGGCGCGCTCGCACCCCGCGGCCTCCGTCCTTCCGCCCGAGCCCCGCGCCCTTCCCGGGACCTCTGCCCCGCGGGCAGCGCTGCCACCCTGCCGGCCATGGAGACCCCGTCCCAGCGGCGCGCCACCCGCAGCGGGGCGCAGGCCAGCTCCACCCCGCTGTCGCCGACGCGCATCACCCGGCTGCAGGAGAAGGAGGACCTGCAGGAGCTCAACGACCGCCTGGCCGTCTACATCGACCGTGTGCGCTCGCTGGAGACGGAGAACGCGGGGCTGCGCCTCCGCATCACCGAGTCCGAGGAGGTGGTCAGCCGCGAGGTGTCCGGCATCAAGGCCGCCTACGAGGCCGAGCTCGGGGATGCCCGCAAGACCCTCGACTCGGTGGCCAAGGAGCGCGCCCGCCTGCAGCTGGAGCTGAGCAAAGTGCGCGAGGAGTTCAAGGAGCTCAAAGCGCGGTGAGTGCGCCCGGGGGTGGCGCGCAGGGCGGGAGCGCGGGGCGCAGGCGGGCCGCCGGCCCGGCCCGGCCCGGCCCGGCCCGACTCCGGCGGCTGATCGCTAGGCTTCACAGTCCCCTCCCTCCCCGGAACTGCCCCGGCGGGTGACTGGCAGTGCCAAGGGAAATCGTCGAGAAAGGACAGAGAAGGGAGGGGTCTCTGGGAGAGGGTGGCATATGTAGGGAATGGTGGGAGCGTCAGGGCCGAGTAGGGGCGGGTGGCAGGCCCACATCCGTTCTGGGTCGGGGTCGCCAGCCTTTTGGAGGAGCCAGGGGCAAGGCCTTGGGCGAAGGACAGCTGGCCCTGTCTCGTCTAAGAAATCTGGTTGCTCAGGACTCATCGGAGTGGGTGAAAGGGTCCTGTTAGAACTTTCTTGGCAGGCTTGGCACTGTGCCAACTTTGCCTAGACTGTCTCTGGACACATGATGCCCATTAAGACTGAGCACCCGCGCTGGCAGGTGTCCAGCGGTGCTGGAGAGAGGTTCGCAAGGCAGGGACATGGAGGTGACCTCTGGGGCACATCTCTTTCCGGGGTTCTGGGAGTTGGGACGCTCTCCCCTCACTGCCTCAGGTCTGGGGCCTTCTCTGGGCCGGGACAGGCCCACCGAACAGCTCCAGGAGCCCGGCTCCCCCGCAGCGCCCGCAGCCCTTGGCCTGCTTGGCCCAGGAATGCAAGACGGGTAGGGATCCCGCGGCAGAGGCTCAGGAGGTGGTCTACCCGCCCAGGTCCGGGGCACCCGCCTTGGCCCTCTGCCAGGGGTCTCCGAGGTTCCGGGCTCTGCTCCTCCCCGTCTCCCTGCCTGGGGCGAGCCACTTTTCATTTCCCGGCCAAGCCCAGCAGTCTTTGCTCTGGCCTATCTGCTCAGCCACTGACGTTTTTTTGATCTTTGCCTTATGAAACTGCTGGAGTAAGTGACATTTTTGAAATCCAGCCGTTGGAAGCTTCAGGCCACTCCTACCTCACCCATCCCTGCCCCACCCTACCCCACCCTACTTGACTCCTCCCTCTTTTCTAAAAAGGCCTTTGGAGCCTGGAAACCTAGGCTCTTTTTTCCTGGCCCCTGAGAATTTGCTTTCCTCCTCTTTCCTCTCCCTTTCTGTGTGACCACCTGACCCAAAGAGCCGAAAGGTGCTTGAGGTCCCTGGGCCGGGGGGCCTCTGGCTTGACTTCCTGTTCTCCCAAAGCTTGCCCTCCTCGGAGCCTCTCTGTATCCAGTGCTCCTTCTGCCCTTCACCTACCGGGGCCCTGGCGGTGGGCGGGGCGGATCCGTGCCCTGACGAAGGGTAGATGGAAATAGTGTGCAGAGACAGGCTGACTTTTGGGGGAAAGTGTTGACAGAGGTCACTCCTGCCTTTTTGCACTGGTGATCTGATCAACTTGGCTCGCGGGACTGACAGGCAAACTAGGCGGGCCCCAGAGAACTAAACTAGCGCGCTCGGCAAAGCCCCCTCGCCGGCTCTTATGCAGGCCCTTCTCTGCAGGCCTTTCTGCTGGGAGGACATTGATTGGGAAGCCGGAGGAGGAGCAGAGTCTGCGATCCCTGGCTAACCCAGCCACGCCAGTCTGTCTCCTCTGCCTCCTGGTGCAGCTGTCCTGGCCTGGGACACCAGGCGGGTGTGTGCTCACATGGGGCAGGGGCGGGGGTGGTGTGTGTACTTGTTATATTTAGCCACCTGCCTCTCTCTCCCCCACTGATCCTGGCTGGGGAGGCTGGGCTTCCGGAAAACGGGGGGGGGGTGGGCCTGCACACCTGGATCTCAGGCTGATGGGAGGCTGGGTGGAGACAAAGGGGGCTCGGGCTGGATTGGCTGCCCCCTCCCATGTCCCATGTCCCCAGTGGGAGGACCCAGGATTTGCGGCTTCTCTTTCTGTGTGCTGTGCTCAGGGTGAAGTGGCGAAGAGTGGACTGAAGATTTTGGGAGAGGAAGAAAGGCACCATCTGAACTGCTCCCCACCGAAGCTTAGGGAGAAGGCATTGTCTGGTTTAATGTTTAATTAGAGCTCAGAGTTCAGGGCCGGGCTTCGGGTTGGGAGGCAGAGCTGTCTGTGCGATCCTGTGGCAGCCCCTGACCCAGCCTGGTACCTCGGCCACACCCAGGGGTTTGGGGCGCCTTCTCGCTGGGCTGGGCTATAGGATCCAAACAGAAACAACACTCCCCAGGCCCCATACACACATTCTGTCTGTTCTGAAGTCTGAAACATTTGGACACCCAAGTGCGGTGAGAATGAGGAGCCGAAAGCCCCAGGCAAGGCCTCCCTTGGGGTCCAGGCTTGGAGCCGGGCCCCATCCCAGGCATGACAGCTGGGTGGATGACTCAGATGCTGCCCCCTCCCTTCCACTCTGGTGGCCTTACAAGGGCCAGTGGGAGACAGGGGGGAGACAGCAGATGTCTTAAGGGGAGGGCTGGGGCCCGAATAGCTGTATCTTCAGCCCCTGCCCCCCACTGCGTGTTGGGGGCCTTCCCACCCCCTTCCTTAGGACCTCTGGTGGCGGCCTGGAGCAGGGCCCGCGTGGGCAGCATGCAGCAGGTGGTTCCAGAGCCGCGTGCAGCCACAAGGCCGCAGCGTGGGGCCGAGGTCTGTGTCTTCCCATGTGGAGCCGGTGGAGGAAGGCTGAGTCAGGAGTGGGGAGATCCTGGGCCCGCAAAGCAGAAGCGCTTCTTCCCCCCCGGACGAGGCTGGGTGCCCGACAACTTCCTGTATTGTCCGCCTTGTGCAGCCCCGGTGGGGATGGGCAGGGAAGCGCGGGCCCAGGCTCATCCCAGCTCTCACTGAGGCAGGAACAACGAAGGCCCGAGAGGTGCACAGCCTTGTCTTGTGTCACACAGTAAGAGAGCAGCAGGTCGGGACTTGAGCACGGGCTTCTGACTTCCAGTTGTGTGCCTGTGTCGTCAAGCCTGCCTTCTTTTTTTTTTTGTAATTAAAAAAATTTTTTTTCTATTTACTTCTGAGAGAGACAGAGAGACAGCATGAGCAGGGGAGGGTCAGAGAGAGAAGGAGACACAGACGCTGAAGCAGCTCCAGGCTCTGAGCTGTTAGCATGGAGCCCGACATGGGGCTCGAACCCACAAACTGTGAGATCATGACCTGAGCCAAAGTCAGATGCTTAACCGACTAAGCAACCCAGGCGCCCCAAGCCTTCTTTCTTTAGCTTAGAAGACAGGTTGGAGGGTCCTGTGGGCTCAGGGGTGGGGGGGTGGCCGAGGCTTCTGCAGTGCGGAGATTCCAGCCTGAGCCCAGTGGGGCCAGTGATACGTGAATGTCCTGCCCTCCTGTGAACCCCATCCTTTGCTCTGCCCTGTCCCTGGAAAGACCCAAGACCCTGCCAGGACATGGATCCTGAGACGCAGCTCCGGGAGGCTGGGTGTTCCTGGCTGTGACTTGTCATGGGAAGTATCTACACATAGTATTCAAAGGAGGCTGTGCCCTTTGGCAGAGACCTGGGGGTAACAGGAGGCCTTTGAGGGTACCCGGGCCCGTGTCCTCACCCGAGGGAGCCTCTGGTGTCGTCGCTCCCTGCCACCCCCCACCCCGAAGTCTGCATTCCGATCCAAAACTCAGGGACCGAGCACCACTCGGGGAGCCCAAGAGGAACAGAAGGGACGGGAATTCCTGCTCAGCCCCTGACTGCTTTCCTGTGGCCCAGGCCCCCGGCTGGCACCTGCCGTGGCCTCCATTCTGAGACCTACCCTTGCACAGGGTACACCCGTGCCCCAGTCCCACCCCCCAGGGATTCAGTAGTTCAGGGTCAGGACTGAAGCCAGGGACAGCTGGGGAACAACTGGGAGGGGGTGTGTTCACCAACCAGCTGTGCCTCCGCTCCCCCCCCCAGCCTCCCTCCCCGCAGGCCCCACCCCTGGGCCCGGCTGCAAGCTCACCCCACCGGAGCCCCGGTGCCCCTGAAGGTGAGGCGGGCCAACCTCTAACGTTCTTGGGAGTGTCCGGGAGAGCTTGCAGGGTCTCCTGTCCCTTAACAAGAGGTGGGGCGGCCACTAGCCACGTGACAGGTTGTATGAGGTGGAAACAACCCCGGTCCTCGGTGTCCTAGGCTCGGTCCTGCCACTAAATTGCTGTGTGACCCCGAGGAAATCACCTTCCCTCTCTGGATGTCCCTAGCTATGAAATAAAGGGCTTAGAGCAGAAGGTCTGGAGAGCTGCCTCATGGCCTAGTGCGTGATCCAGAGAGAGTGGTCAGTCCTCCACGTTCCCCAGCAAGAACTGTGAAAAACAAATACACTTAATGTGAATATAATTATTGGCCATTGCCATTCTCTATAGAAATCTCTGCCACGAGCTGTGGGGTGAGACTTGCAGACAAACTTGCTTCTCTGTTTCTCAAAGAAAGTTTGTTAGGAACCGGTAATTATGACATTACGCTCTTGGCTTCTGCTGTTTTATGTCCGGCGAGAGAGGACAGTGGGAAGGGCTGTGTTGAGGGGAGCTGGGAGGCCCCGGGAACGACCGGGCTGTCACCTGAGAGCTGGCCAGGGTTGGACACACGTGTTTGCGGCCGGAGGGAGGCACAGGCTGACCTTGGGCCGCCTACCTGCTTCCTTTCCTGCACCCGGCTGCCTCCCCTGGGGCCCGGCTCTGAGGAGGTCTTGGAAGGGGACAGAGTTGGCGAAGCAGGGGTGGGGCAGGGAAGGGGTGCTCCCTGTCCCCTGGCGGGAGAGGAAGCCGGGATTAATTCTGGCGGGGATCCCGGCCCCACGGGAGCTGAGTCACGGCAGAGGGCGGAGTAGAGTGGACGGGACACCCTACGCTATTCCCTCAGACAAGAGAAGGCTCGGGGTGGCCTTTCATGGGGCATGGCAGCAAGACATGAGGGTGGGACCCGCATGGGGGACACACGGAGGGGACAGAGCACGTGGGTCCCTTTGGACTGGGTTAGAGGGGCTAGACGCCCTCATATCAAGGAGCCCGGTTGGTTTCTGGGCAGCTGAGCAGAGAGGGATCCCAA